ATTGGTAGACTGCTATCACTGCAGATGCAAGAAGCTGCTGGCAGCTGCCCACATCCATCCCCTGCCTCTGGGCAAAGGCAGGGCAGGAGAGCCATGCCCGTGCCCGGGGCATCGTCCCCATCGCACCAGGGTTCTGCCCTAAGGTCTCTGCTGCCCAGGCAAAGGGCAGGGAGGACAATTGTCACCTCAACGAGGGAGGGAGCTGAGAGGGAGTCCTGGTGCCTGGGACACGTCAGGAGAGAGCCTGGGCAGAGCCCCGTGACAGGCACAGATAAATATAATCGCCCTCCCTGGCAATGGCCCCCTTGGCGGATGTTTACAAACAGCTCAGTACTTTTCCATGTTAAGAAGCTTGTTTTTCCAGATGCCTTGTATCGGGTGGTTTTTTTAATGTGTATAGTTAATCCCTTCTCACAGAGTCTTTCATAATAAACATCACCCCCTGACCCGGCTAACAACTATGTAACACTAATGCTTTTGATTTTTTCTATCCCCTGCTCGGGGCTGTCAGGGGGAATGGAGTCAGCAGCTCCCACAGACACACGGACACGACTCGGAGAGGAGCAGGAGAGCTCAGAGGTTCCCTCCACACACACACACTCCCCCCCAGCCCATCCTCCAGCATCACCGCCCCTCGGGACTTGCCTGGACCCCTCTCCACCCGGATGGAGGCTCAGCTCTTGACAAACCTACGAACCACATGTAACCTGGAGTTTTGAGCCACTGTTTGAAAAGGCTTGTCCAGCCCCAAAATGTCTGTTTGTGGCATTCAGCACCTAGTGAAACACTCAGAGAGTGGTTTGGGTTGGAAGGGACCTCAAAGATCATCGAGTTCCAACCCCCCTGCCCTGGGCAGGGACACCTCCCACCAGACCAGGTTGCTCAAAGCCCCGTCCAACCCGGCCTTGAACCCCTCCAGGGATGGGATTCATCACGTTCTCCGGGATTTCCATCCTCAATGCAATGGAAAGGGACCACAAAGAGCAAGGTACTCCAGTATTTCATGTGAAGTAGGTTTGACAGTGGTATGTTTTATGTTTTACACTTCCCGGTACTGGTTCCAGCAGGACACAACGTCCACCCCAGTCCATGCCTTAGACCCTTCAGGGTTCCTGCAGGAAATCCACCAGGACATGCCAAGCCCTGCAGCACTTCACAGATGACAGGCAGTGGATGCAAAGCATGGACCAGACGGGGTCACAGGTGCTCATGGTAAGAGCAGAAGGTGGGTCAAGTGTGAAAGATGCTGTTGTAGAGAAAATCCATAAACCAGCACTCACTGGAGTGAGCTCCAAACCATGATTGTGCATCACTACAGGTCTCAGACCTGCTGTGCAGGGCAATCCAGTGTCCAACACCAGGATAATCCACATTCTCCTGACCCTTGGGTTTCACCTGGAGCTGGATTCAAGCAGAGGTAGATCCCAGTAGCCGTGGAGAACATGCAGGGTAAGAGGGAGCAGAGCTGAGATCTGGACCAGTCCCATCTGCTCCGGTTCCCACCACGCTTTTGTAAAAGATGGTTTGTCAGCTTGAGCATCCTGGCCAAACTCCAACTCGAGTCATTACAGACGGCCTCCCCGAATTCCCCTGGAGTTTCAGTTCAGATATGCCACGGGGGCTCACTTTCTGTCCCAACTGTTGCTAGGCTGGGCACTGTTCAGCTTTTGCTCCACTTTATTTGTTCCAGAGCTACCTTTCACTGAGAACCATCCTCTGGGGCGTCACGGAGCGTGGAGCAGAGGGATGAGCTGGAACTCTGCGGTCCCACATCTGACATCTCCCCCTGGGTGCCACGGACAAAGATCCAGCTTTCACTCCAGCTGCTGTGGAGCAGCAAAACTTGCATCTGGGTCTGCACATCCCACGTTCTCCGGGATTTCCATCCTCAATGCAATGGAAAGGGACCACAAAGAGCAAGGTACTCCAGTATTTCATGTGAAGTAGGTTTGACAGTGGTATGTTTTATGTTTTACACTTCCCGGTACTGGTTCCAGCAGGACACAACGTCCACCCCAGTCCATGCCTTAGACCCTTCAGGGTTCCTGCAGGAAATCCACCAGGACATGCCAAGCCCTGCAGCACTTCACAGATGACAGGCAGTGGATGCAAAGCATGGACCAGACGGGGTCACAGGTGCTCATGGTAAGAGCAGAAGGTGGGTCAAGTGTGAAAGATGCTGTTGTAGAGAAAATCCATAAACCAGCACTCACTGGAGTGAGCTCCAAACCATGATTGTGCATCACTACAGGTCTCAGACCTGCTGTGCAGGGCAATCCAGTGTCCAACACCAGGATAATCCACATTCTCCTGACCCTTGGGTTTCACCTGGAGCTGGATTCAAGCAGAGGTAGATCCCAGTAGCCGTGGAGAACATGCAGGGTAAGAGGGAGCAGAGCTGAGATCTGGACCAGTCCCATCTGCTCCGGTTCCCACCACGCTTTTGTAAAAGATGGTTTGTCAGCTTGAGCATCCTGGCCAAACTCCAACTCGAGTCATTACAGACGGCCTCCCCGAATTCCCCTGGAGTTTCAGTTCAGATATGCCACGGGGGCTCACTTTCTGTCCCAACTGTTGCTAGGCTGGGCACTGTTCAGCTTTTGCTCCACTTTATTTGTTCCAGAGCTACCTTTCACTGAGAACCATCCTCTGGGGCGTCACGGAGCGTGGAGCAGAGGGATGAGCTGGAACTCTGCGGTCCCACATCTGACATCTCCCCCTGGGTGCCACGGACAAAGATCCAGCTTTCACTCCAGCTGCTGTGGAGCAGCAAAACTTGCATCTGGGTCTGCACGTCCCTCACAAAGCGCAGGAGGATCTTCCCTTGGAGTCTTGGCTCAGACTTATATCCAGAAACTTCATTAGCGAGCAGGTAAAATCCCAGCTGGCTGATAAAGCTGATTTATATTAAAGACAAAAGGGTGTCTGTGGCAGCGATGCTGTAGGAAGAGATCTCCTGGTGCAGGTTCCTTCGGAGGAGGATTTTATTGGGTGGCAGCAGGGTGGCACGTGTGGCCCACGAGTCACATCCTGGCACATCTAACCAGGTGTAACACCAGGCACCTCCACGGGACTCCTGAAGGCTCCAACAGGGCCAGCCTGGTGCCTCTGCAGACACGTCGGGCACAGGGATGGGCACTTATGTCAGAGATGGGGGGCAACGGTGTCCCAGGAGGAGGAGATGCCCTAAAGGCTTTGCTTTTTCAACGGCGTATTCAGCTCTCAAAATACATCCCCTCACCCATATTGAGAGACGCAGCTAGAACCAAAAAATGACACTGCCAGCCCTAACACACAACTTTCCACCAGCCTTGTCAGCAGCCAGTGCCATCTGTACCCCCGGTGCTTTGCTCCCCGGAGCGTTTCCAATCACCTCAGCTGGTAAAAACAGCTTTTCAGCCCCTCTCTCTACCCAAGGCACAAGAAGCAACTCAGACCTTTTAAAGTCCCTGTCCACTGCCAGCACGTTAGATATATCAATGTAAATCTGTCACGGAGACAAGAACAAAGTGCAGCTGTAATTCAGGCAGTGACCACAGGAAAACCTCAAAATCTCTACTCAGCTTGATGCAAAGGGAGGATGTTAAGAGAGGTTTTGTGTTTACTGGGCCACAGCCTCAGGAGAAGCGTAAACCTGGGGGCTCGGGAAGGAGTTCACAGCCTGTGAGGTGCCATTAGCCCATGCTGCCTTCACGGGCTTCTAAACTTAGCTCTGTTTGACTCCAGACCCTGGTCCAGAGGAAAGGGAATGCGGGAACAATGTCCCTCTGGCTTTGCTCACGCTGCTCCTGAAGTGAAGATGACCAGGGCTAAACACTGCAGTTGCTACAACAGCAGCTCATGCCTCGTATAGTTTCCACGTCCAGTGGAAATGCATCCGAGACACGTGAGGGAGGAAAACAGGGCACGGGATCAGCCCTTCCAGCCCGGTCCTTGGGAAACGCTGCTTCTCCCCACCCCAGCCCATGGCAGAGCTGGCAGGGGGGAGCTGGGCATTGCCCCCCAGGGTGGGCAGCACTCCCCGTACCCGTAAGGAGTGAGGGAAAACCCTGCCACAAGGTCAGACACCAACGGCCTCACCTTAATGCCCTTGAGCCCCGTGACAGGAGGAAACCCAACACAACGTCATCTCCAACTCAGCTGTGCTGTCTCTCATCTCACAGCTCCCTGCACCTCCCCCTTGTTCACCAGGAGGAGCCTCCGTGCCACCAAGCCACCCGCCCATGGCATCAGTGAGGACACCCAGGTGAGCACCCAAATTGGGGAATCTCAGCACATGGTCATCTCAATACTGTAGCACCTCCCAGTCCCACCAAACTCAGCCTCTTCTCCCTTGCATCAACAGCGGTGGAGTGGGCACAAGGACCCCAAAGGAGAGGGCACAAGGACCTCCCCACCACTCATCCAAGATGCCCACCAGGTACCTCCACCTGCTCCCTCCCAGCAGAGCTGAGCACAAAGCCAAGGCTGGCACCACCAGCAAGAGCTGTGGCTTCTTGGAAGATGCCCTCTCCCAGCACCTGCAGCCAGCCAGGGGCACGCTGGTTGACACCACATCTGGGCAAGTATGACCCCAGGGGAAAACTCTTCCTTTGGCAAAAGCCTAAAAGCTTACATACCTCAGAGGGCTTCTTCTCCTTCTGCCGTGACCAGGCGGATTTGGTATTTGGAATTTTGGAGCATCTGGAGGCGGACGTGGTGTGACCTGCAACGAGGCAAGAGAGACAGGTTACCAACAAAAGAGACAGAAGTTTTGTCCACACACCTTTGTCACCAGCCCCACCACTCCTACTGCAGCCTCAACCAACACTAAGAGGTGACAATACCTTGAGATGGCACTATTTTTGTGCACATCTCAGGGTATTTCACCAGAACGGATCAACATCACTTTGCTGCTGCTAAGGATGATGAAACAGAGACCTCTGAGACCTAAAAAAAGCCTGTTGTCAAATGCAGACATCAGAATTGCAAACATAAAGTCATGAAGAAGAACATCTTCTAAGAGGGAATGGGCCAGGGCCAGCTCTCCTGGAACCAGGAATCTACTGTAATCGGGAATTAAGGAGTTAAGACTAAAAAATTTTTTAACAAGGATGCCTAAAGACAAGCACCTGAACTCGAGGACTTCCTCTGCCCGAGGACTTCAGACCCCATGGTCAAAAATATCAACCAAATTGGGCAAAACCCCTCTGCCCGTGCCTGGACTGATGACTTCCACGTCTGTGTGTGGTTCAGCATCTAGTGGGAACCATGCGACAGGACACACCGAGCGAAAGCCCTTTACAGTTTTCGGTAGTAAAAAGAGTATTTGCTTTGGGATTTGGGATTACTTTACTCCGGGAGCGTTATGAATGGACTCTCATCATCCCGACTGGAGCAGCAGCATCACCAGCGCTACCACCTCCACATGGCAAGGGCAGCCGGGGCACGCAACCTGCTGGGATCAGTGTGTTATTAATCTTTATTTCCAGCCCGTAGGTGCTATTAGCACTGCTACTATCACCAGTAATAAACAAATAAATAAATAAATATTGGGGGAAAAAAAAGAGAATCTGCATGTAATTGGTAATAATAAAGTAATTACTGGAATCTTTTTATAATAATGATAATGGTTGGGTCTTCTGTGCAGCAGGATGACTTCAGATTCCACTCTACACAAATGTTTTGCTGGGGGTGCAACAGATTAACTACCAATAGCCCTATTTAACACTGATTTTATCCTTGGGTGGCTGAATAGGAAGAAATAAGCAAATGCCAAGCCCAACAGGTCCGTGCATGCCAGGACATCAGAAGGGCTCTGGGCTGGGCCTGAGGGACCGGGGGTGTCCCCAGCGCGGTGGGAAAGGTCCCTTCCTCCACCAGCTCAGGCAGTGGAGTCCCTCGGGAGCCCAGATCAATCTCAGATGCCAATTTTTGCTCGCCAGGGAAGAGGCACTAGCTCACCTTGCCCTGTTCATTCGATAAACCCACTTTCCTTAGATTCCATAAAACGAAGGCCAGATCTGATGGCATCAGTTCGCCAAGGACAACTGTTTTTTTCTGAGTGCAGTGCTGCGATGTCATTTCAGTGGGCTCTCAGATGCCAATTTTTGCTCACCAGGGAAGAGGCACTAGCTCACCTTGCCCTGTTCATTCGATAAACCCACTTTCCTTAGATTCCATAAAACGAAGGCCAGATCTGATGGCATCAGTTCGCCAAGGACAACTGTTTTTTTCTGAGTGCAGTGCTGCGATGTCATTTCAGTGGGCTCCACAGAAATGTGCTATTTTTTATCACCCCCGTACATCAGAGGAGCGAGGAGGCAAAGCCCTACACTGTGGCCACCAGGAAACACCACTTCACTGGCCACCTCCCTCAAATCCTGCAGCAGCAGCAGCTCCACCGCTAGCTCCCAGAGCTCCAGCCACTCATTTCCACCCTCTCCCTTCTTCTCCATCTCCAACGTGGTGCTACAACCACACAGACCTGGGTAACACGCCACCAGCACCACCACCACCCCCCCTTCCCGGCGGAGGCATGATAAAGAAGGTCATCACTTCGTTTACAATTATCCTGCAGGAGAGCATTTGTCAACAGCTTAGATATATCACCTGCGGCATAAATATCCCAAGCCCAACAGAGATAAGGCTTCGTTGTTTAATACGGTGATTAAAGATGCTTTCCTCCCCCCCTCGAAAGGCAGAGGAGCTCGTGGCTGGGCTGGGTAAGCCCTTGAGCATCTGGGGATTAGGAGACGGGAAGTTTGGAGCCACAGCTTCCAAAACAAACCCCTTTCTGAGATAGAGATGTTTGATTTTACGAGAAGCCAGCAGTGTTGACAGAGCTTGAAAGGCTTTTCTGGAGGCTGGGCTCAGCCCCCTTCCCCCAGACCCCCAGCAGGATGGGGGTCCCCCCCCCCAGCAGCCCAACAGCAGGTTCCTGTCGGCGGTAGCGGTGCGAACTCCGCTCACGCTGACTATTTTTTTGGCTAAAGCTGTGGGAACGGCAGTCAAACCCAGCAAGATCAGCCTTTCCATAACCCCCTGTAATCTCCCCATCATCCTGTTAGGAAAAAAAAAAATAAAAAAAAAAAATAACAGGCCCACAAGTTTTAGTCTCTTTAGCAAAGTCCCTTTCGTTCTCGGATATCCAGCCGCCAGATCCCAGAAAGTAGGGAGAGCAAATTCCCAGCAGGGCCCAGATGAAATTACTGGGACGTCTGTAAGAAACCAAGAGCTGAATTACTGGAATTCGTAGGAAACTCCGGAGCCCAGACGAGGGATTAGAGTCGTGCCTGGAGGAGAGCGAGCACTGAGGCACTGCGGTATGTCTGCAGTGGGTGAAACCCCAGGAGAAGTGGGAGAGCGCTCTATTTATAGCCAAAATTCAGCACATTTGCACATGTTTATTGTTGAGCACATGCTTCTGTGCTTCCCTGAATGAGGATGAAGTGAGGTAGATGTTGAAAAGCAAGCGTGGGCTTGCAGGCTTTGCTGGCTTGAGCCTTATCCCTTTTCCCACATCACTCTTCAGCTGGCGAGAAGGGAACCAGGCGGCTCCGGTTTTACCCTGACTCCAGTAAAAACTTCCCTTTTGCCCCAGTACAACTCAGTCGAGAGCAAACTGGTCTCGGGCTGCAGCTCACCGGGAAGGACAAGGCGTCTAGAAAAGGGGTGTTTGCTTCGTTAGGAGATTTGCAATCAGCGGCTCTCCCTGTCTCCCAGCCTCCTCACAGGAGGGAGACGCTCTCATCAGTTAAGAGCAGCCACAGCCGGGCGTTTAAATTGATATCAGCTTGTTGCTGCCTTTCTGACAACCCCAACCCAGCACACAATTCATTGTGCGGAGACTTCCCAGTAAAATGCAGCTTCCTCCGCTCTTTGCAAAGTAATTATTCAAGCGTTTTTCCCTGCTGGAGGTGAATCGCTTAGTTATCTCGTTCAAAGCCTGGAATTAAAGGTCTTACTGTCAGTGGTGTCTGAGTTATCACTGCTGATCGAGTACTTGCGTCGTTTCTCTTCCATCTGTAACAAAAGAAATTGAACATTACACTTAATGCCCAGGAAACTCATCTCAGCACCAAATCGCTGTTATCTCTCTCGAGTATCTGCACATCACCTTATCCCAGCAGCAGCCGGTACTTACCCTCACCACAGACAACCACCCAGGGGCGTAGGAAAAGGAAGAAAACAACCCTCACGGGGCTTTTGTAAAAACTTTGAGGGCGTCAGTGTTTCTCTACCAGCCTTCCCCTCTACCCAGGAGGTAGAGGGAGGACACTTCAGTCACTCGGCTTCGTGTGGCCATTTGCCTACGCAGGATTCACAACCTCCCTCCCTCTGCAAGAGCATCCCCACCAGAGGATGCCCCACCGTGGACCAGAAGATGCTCCACCATGGAGCAGAGGATGCTCCACCACGGACGGAGGTGCTGTTGGATGGGACAAACAACAAAAAACCCTCCTGGGCTGCAAATCTGAGAAGGGCAGAGAGAGAAGAATGGAAACTCTGCGCCCTCTCGATATGTCTGCAGGGGAAAGTCCAAGCATCCCGGCACTAAGAGGACCCCTGCGTAGGGTGAGGCCGGGGTTTTACCCTCTGACTCATCTTCCCACTCAGCCGGTATCTACTTCTTTGAAGACTTCTGGTGTATCTGCCACGCTGCCAGCACACTAGCCAAGCCTGAAACGTGCTAGCCAAGCCTGCAGCTCACTTGTCATCACCCTGAGCTGCTCTGCCTGCTCTGGCACAGCCCCCCCAAGCACCACAGCTCTGGGCAGGGGGGGAGCAAGCAGGTTCTGCACGGCTGCTGGGACTTCTCCATCCTCTCAGAGCCAAACCCAAGGCAGCAGGTACCACCGTAGCGATTAGGAGGACAGGAGAGCCCCTTTCAAGCTCAGCTGCTGATTCGCTTTGTGACTTTGAACAAGCCACAGAACTGCTTGAAACCAGCAGGTTCTTGTGAACTCGCCCCTCAGGAACCGAGCGCTCGGGAGCTGAAAGTCAAGTACCCGTATCAGTGGATGCTTTAAAGGGGTAAGGAAAAAGGAAAGGAGAGGAAAAAGGAAAGGGAGAAAGGAAAGGAAAAAGGAAAGAAAAGGGAAAAAAAAAGAAAATGAAAAAAGGAAAAAAAGAAAAAAAAAGTTTTTTAACCTCTGAAGACTGGTGCCTGATCAATGTGGTCCCCAGTACAGGGCTCTGGAAGGTCCATGCCCATGGACCAGACAACTCTCCAACAGGCTGTGAGCTTAAAATACCCCCACAGGAAACAATGTTAATCTCGTGGAGATCTTCCTAGTACTTCCTGAGATATTTTGTAAGAGGCTGGGACTTCTCCATCCTCTCAGAGCCAAACCCAGGGCAGCGGGTACCACCGCAGCGATTAGGAGGACAGGAGAGCCCCTTTCAAGCTCAGCTGCTGATTCGCTTTGTGACTTTGAACAAGCCACAGAACTGCTTGAAACCAGCAGGTTCTTCTGAACTCACCCCTCAGGAACCGAGCGCTCGGGAGCTGAAAGTCAAGTACCCGTATCAGTGGATGCTTTAAAGGGGTAAGGAAAAAGGAAAGGAGAGGAAAAAGGAAAGAGAGGAAGGAAAGGAAAGAAAAAAGGAAAGAAAGGGGGAAAAAAAAGAAAATTAAAAAAGGAAAGAAAGAAAAAAAGTTTTTTAACCTCTGAAGACTGGTGGAGAAAGGAAAGGAAAAAGGAAAGAAAAGGGAAAAAAAAAGAAAATGAAAAAAGGAAAAAAAGAAAAAAAAAGTTTTTTAACCTCTGAAGACTGGTGCCTGATCAATGTGGTCCCCAGTACAGGGCTCTGGAAGGTCCATGCCCATGGACCAGACAACTCTCCAACAGGCTGTGAGCTTAAAATACCCCCACAGGAAACAATGTTAATCTCGTGGAGATCTTCCTAGTACTTCCTGAGATATTTTGTAAGAGTCCAAGGGTGTTAACATGGCACAGACACTACTGCTTCCACAAAGGATAAGCAGGAACAGTAATAAACCCCTGGGTCTGTGTGGTGGGGTCGCAGTAGAAGCAGCACAGAGACTGGGTAGGGGGCCAGAGCAAGCCATTTCCCCCCAAAACAACAGGAAAAGTTCCACATGAGCGTATAAAACCCTTGCCATGGCTGTATTTTACAATATACGTGCTGTGTTTTATCACGCCATTATAAGGGATAACACTACAAAGTATCATAAACATTTAACTATCAGTGTTGTGGTAAGGCACTGCCCTGTCAAAACATGATATAAAACGTTCCTCCAGAATATGGCAATATCAATACTTCCCCTCCGTGATTCAAGGGGAAACAGATGCTATTAAACCAGCCTTGCTCCCAGTGGCCATTAGATTTTGCTTGGGGAAAACGATATTGAAGACGGCTCAAAGCGCAGTTTACTCACTTTTAGTGGAAATTCTACCTGAACGTTTTTTTAAACTGGTTCCTACTGGTTTGAAGTGGCAAATGGGCTGCTGGAGCACAAAGCTGGAGCTGTGCTTTTATCGATTTTGGAGTCCCTGATCACAGGGCTTGGAAAAGAAACACCTGAGCTGAAGCAAAGGAATGCTACTGGTACCCAGTGGGATTTCCAGGGGTTTCCCAGCTCTGCCTGTACAGCAAGTGTCACTGACATCCCTCTCCTTCCCAGGGAGGGGAGAAGGTGCAGGATTAATGCACAGCACAGATGTCAGGATGCTGGGACTGGCTTTTGGCTGGGATATATATGGAGAAGATGCATCTTTAAGTTAACTTGGACTCTGCCTCCTGCTCCTGTCCTACACAACACACTTTTATGTGCTCACTATGTAACATTATCAATTTATGTTCACCTACAGAAGAGCTTCACGTTGCAGGTGAGACAGTGGCCTGGCTTCAGTCAATCATTTTGCCCCTGTCTGGCAGGCTCCACGGCAGCATCCTCTGATCCAAACAGCATTAAATCACCCCAAATGGAATTCTGGCTCGAGCAAAGCACGGACATCCCTCAGCACAGGAGCACTAAGAGAGCACAGGATGGCCCATAGGGTGCTGAAGGGAGCAAAATTTGGGGCCAAAACCACAGAGCTCAACCAGATCTTTTCACAAAACCACTAACTTCCAGGCGGTGCTAAGAAGAGGCTGTTGTTTTCTGAAGGACCCATCTTCTTGAGCAGCCAAACAGTAGTAAAATGCATGGCACTTAAGGGAGGAATTTACTGTAGAAAAAGGGTAATTAGGCCATTTCCCCAGCTGGGTTATAAAGTCTGCTGGTGGCTGGGAGAGCCGTGGGCTCCCGAAACCCCTCTGGCACCCAGGGCAGGGGGACCCACATGCCTCCCATGGAGCAAGCACTCAGGAGCCATCCCCTTGGTGTAACTACTGAGCAATTTCCAGTCTCCACAAAATCAGGTCTCCGCTCCAAAACTAATCTTTTGTTTACATTAGAAGCTAATTTCACCTTTAACTGACCCATTCCCCCGCATGGCATCATTATTACGGTCATAAACAAATACCAAAAAAATTTGTAATACTTTGAAAAGGTCACTGTTAGGTCAAACTTGGCCCAAAATCTAGCTTTTATGGAGCCAGAAACCAAGAGAAAGGTTTCTATGTATGCTTGCTTAAAAAAAAAATTCAAACAGAAACAGATGTGGGTTTCTTTTATAAACAAATGAACATCCCCCTGAAGTGTCTGCAACTCACAATCCGCAGGCACAGCCCGGCAAACCCCCAAAACGGAATCGCTCCCAAACTACCACATGTTTCAGCCTCGCCTTTGTTCAAGCTGAAAAAGGCCCGATAAACGCTAAAGCGAGGAAGATGATGGCCCTCCATCAGCCTAAACAAATGTAAATCGCTAGGGCCTGGGACAAAATTAGCCGCAGGACTGGCGGTAAATTTGAGATGATGGCCTGAGGCTGCCCGGTCCTGCCTCTCAGCAGGGGGAGGAGGCTTGAAGAAGAGCTTTTTGGAGATGAGATTTTGCCCAGCTCCTCTAAACTGGGAGAAGGGAATTATTTCACTGAATTTTAGAGTTGGAAAGGACCATAGAGATCATCTAGTCCAACTCCCCTGCCAAAGCAGGACCACCCAGAGCTTGTCAGAGCATGTTACTCAGGACTGCATCCAGGCAGCATCCTCCTTCAGCACACCCTTCCTGAGCTCCTGTCCCACCTGGGCACTCCTCCCTGCACCCTAAACCGAAATAAAATGCCTCCTCCAGCCTTTCTGCCAAAAAAAACCTGGTTCTGCCCCACTCCTCGCCCTCTGCGAACCCCTCCAGCATCCCTCTGCGCCGGCTGGGGAATCCGCTGACGTTTCCTTGCTCCAGCAAGTCCACGTGGGATTGGGGAGCTCCTGGTGGCATCACAGCAAGCGTGTGCCTGGCAAGAAGGAACCATTCTGGCTTGCAGCAGCCAGCTCCATCCCTACCTGCCTGTGCACACAGGGGACAGGCACAGAAAGCTGCAGAAGTTGCAGTAAAAAAAAAAAAAAAAAAAAAAAGAGGGGGGGTGAAAAGTGGGGGGAAAAAAGGCTATTTTCTCCTTTTTCTCATCACCTCTTCCCAGTGTTCATCCCCACGCCAAGGGATGCAGCGCTGGGTCCCCCCCCCGTCACCCTCTGACGCTGTGACAGTTGAGCAACAGCGGGCTGAATCCTGTGCTGCTGTGTTTGTGAGCTGCAATGAGACTGCAGAAAAAACCACTTCCCTGTTTGTTCTTCCAGCGCAGAAATAGGAACACAAACAGAACATAGTGCCCCCAGCGGCACCAACACCCGCTCCGGCCAGTCCGGACCCCCCCATCCTTCCTAAGGACCCCCCCCAATTCCCAGCCACCCCATCCCATCCCTCCCAGAGACCTTATCCCATCGCTCCCAGGGACCCCCCATCCCACCCGGGTGGGTGATGAGGAGCCCAGGGGCAGCTCATCCATCCTTTTCCCCTTTAACTATTTCTTGGCTCTATCTAGGAACACCAGCAGGTTGTTAGAAAGTATAACCAGAAGGGTGGAGGGCTGGAAGGTCCCAGCCTTTACACCCCTTGGAGGGTTGTCCTCCTCACATTGGCTCTTCTCATGAAGAATTTTGGAGCCAGGCGCTGCTCTAGGAGGCTCTGAGAGATTGGCAGCACCCCCCCGATGCAGGCACAGCCCCCAGTTTCACAGTAAGAGAAGAACAAACTTTTTGGACCGAAGGATGCGCATCAGCTGTGCCACCAGACCATCACCAAATCCTGGTGCACAGCCCTCCACACCTCGGGGGAAGCCACCTTGCTCTTTCCTTAACCTCTCTGGTGACCCTGCAAAGTGGAAATCCAGAAAGGCACGATCCTGGTCCCCAGGAAAAGCCAATTTTCTGGGCAGTGGGAGTGTGTCCCCACCAGCCAGGGGCTCGCCTGTCCCCTCCCTGTCACCTCCAACCTCTCCAGCAAAACCCCAACTGCCCAGGTGAAGAGAGAGCCATTCCTCCTCTCCTCCCCAGCAACTCCTGCTTCCCTGCCTTGGCTCCCTGGGGCAAAACTTAATCTCATTTAAATTTAAAACAAAACAAGCCCTCGTTTACTTCCTGTGCTTTGCCTTTTTCCACATCTACAAGGGGATTTTTTGGTCTTTGCTCCTCACATGTATAACTTTGCTTGCCTCTTCTGACTTGTTACCCTCTAATTATCCATTTTTTTTTAATTTTTTTTTTTCCCCCTTCTCCAGCAAGCCCAGGCAGAGCACAGGTAACCAGCAAGGTTACTGCGGGCACTCGGGGCCACCCCTGCCTTCGGGCAGGAGGGAGCAGGCAGGGACACGGGACAAGGGCAGGGACAGAGGGACACAGGGACAGAGGGACACAGGGACAGAGGGCATGGCTCCTCGCCCACAACCAGCTGCCCCCATCCTGCAGGTCCCCGAGCATCCACAGCTCAAGAGGAAAAATCAACAGGAGCTATGGGCACTCCAAACTTCGTAACAACTACCCAGAGAAAGGCAAAAGACCAGACCTCATTTCAAATAACGTTACTTCGAGGACCACCCATCCACCAACTTTCAGAACTTGGTGTCAAAACACTATCAGCAGCCACCACCACTTGACATGAATTGCATCTCCCTGCCCACAGCCCTCACGTGTACCCTCCCACCCTCTGCTCCAAGCCTGCATTTCTGGACATCAGCCTCAATTTTCCTAGGAAAAACAAATTTAACCTTTGATTTAACCTTTCTGCAAGCTATTTTTACTTCTATCTCAAGCTTATTTTAACCTCAGTAGCCAATAAATGCTTAAAGGTCAAACACTATTCCTAAGAGCCGGGTTCCTCACCCCTGGGAGAAAGCCTGAGATGATTGATTATTTTTTTTTTTTAAAATTTTTATTTCACACACACCACACCCCCCGCCCCCCCC